AAATATTGTCCACACTTCTAGTTCACTTATTTCAGTCCAGCCAGAATTTCATATATAGATAGTGTCACACTGTGTCTCACTCTAATGAACCATTTTTTAGCCTTTTAACTTCCTCTTGTGTTCGCTTATGCATTCTTGGTAGGGCAATAAAATACAAATAATCACCAAAAATAAGATCTACTTTCTCATCTGGTAACAAATTTAGTGCATGGTCTCTTTAAGCTTCCAGCTGGAGCTAGATCAGGCTGCTGCCCAGGTTAGGTAACTACTCCTTCTATTTATTTGGTAGAGCTGAGCAGGCATTTTTACTGAGCCATATGTTGGGAAAAATTAGCCAAAACATTTTCTCTAGTGTTTCTTCTGATTCACTCTGTTTCCTCTTCTCTGGCCTTTTCGAAGTTCCTCCCTTCCAGGTTTACTTACTGACATGTGATTCAAGTTACTTGTAAAAAAATATTAGTAGACGTATTAAGAAAAAAGCAGGCTGAGTCATTTGTTGCTTTCAAAAGTTTATCACAGTACTTGTACACGTGTGCATCTCACCAATGCACATAAGGGGTTGACCTGCTGGAAAGCAACTCCATGGAGATGGAACTTGGAGACCTGGTGGACAACAAGTTATCCATGGGACAGCAATGTGCTGTTGTGGTCAAGAATGCCAATGGTACCCTGGGGTGTATTAAGAGGAGTGTGTTCAGCAAGACAAGGGAGGCCATCCTTCCCCCTCTACTCTGCCCTAGTGGGAACTCACTGGGACTTTTGTGTCCAGTTCTGGGCTCCCCAGATCACGAAGGACAGGGATTTACTTGAGAGAGTCCAACTGAGGCCTGTGAGGATGATTAGGGGACTGGAACACCGGCCTTATGAGGAAAGGCTCAGAGACCTTGGGCTGTTAAGTCTAGGGACAAAATATTTACAAAATATCTGAAGAGTGGGTGTCAAGAAGAGTGGGCCAGTCTCTTCTCAGTGGTGTCCTTTGATAAGACAAGGGGCAATGGACAAAAACTGGAACACAGGAAGCTCCACCTCAACAGGAGGAAGAACTTCTTTACTGTAAGATTTACAGAGCACTGGAACAGGCTGCCCAGAGATGTCGTGGAGTCTCCTTCTCTGGAGACTTTTAAGACTCAACTGGATGCATTTCTGTGTGACCTGCCCTAGGTGATCCTGCTCTTGCAGGGGGGTTGGACTTGATGATCTGTAGGAGTCCCTTCCAACCCCCACCATTCTATGATTCTATGATTCTAAATCTGTATTGATAAGCTTACTGCACATTACAGACCTTTTCTTTTTCAGTTCCCTGTCTACTCTCAGTTTAGTTTTCTCTTTTAACTCCATTGCTCATTTCTTGATCCCATGGCATGTGTCATATCTGTCACAAGAAGAAATGCAACATCAGCAGTGTCTCCTAGGGCACAAGGTCCTCTGAGTGAAGTCTTTAGTATGATGTAATTCATTAATTTTTTAAGAGCATAAAACATTGTTCTAAAATGTTGGTTTTCTCTAAATCCTAGCATTTGGACTTGGGTTCCTCTCTTGAGAGGTAGTCTCTTCTTCTGCAACATGGAGAACTGGAAACTCTTCCACCATAAAACAGATTACAGGTTTCTGTAACTGGAACAGTTCTTGCATATACGATAAGTGGGTCAGGACTGCTTGCCACTAGTACTAATCCTTCCTTAAAGCAAATAAAAAAGTATCAAGGTAACAAGACCTGGGTCAAAACCACAAAGAAACAAGCTTCAGAACTCAGGCAGAGGAACAGGAGCTGGACAAGCCACTGCTGGAAAGCCACCTTTGGAAACTAACCTGACTGTTTCAGGAGAATTACAGATTCTCTCTCACCCTCTCTGTATCTGTCCTCAAGGAACTTCTCAATTCTTGTACTTCAGATGGGAAGACATTAGATAGTACATTAGTGTACGTCTAAGTATATTGAAACAATTGGGAAAAATATCAGCATGCAAGATGCCACAGGAAATATTTATTAGGGGAAAAAAACGGGAACAGTGAAAGATGACGTGATGAAACAAGTCGTAAATATGTTCTCCAGCAGTTTGTTTCAATCTGTACTTCGAATACAGCTTCTAGTACTCTGTTAGAAAATAAAAAACTGAAAAAAATAGGATTCTAAAACCCTACATAAATATGAGTGTATTAGTGAATGGGGCTGGAAGAGAGACACACCTGGAACAAAAGCACAGGGAGGAAAGCTGGACAACATGTGCACATGTTCTTTGTTTATATAAATCAAATCAGGCCACTGTGGCCGGAGTTGTATCAAATGTCAGTTCAGGCAACTGAGTACTGCACACCATCTCAACCAAATGGAATAAGAGCACAGCCTACCTGTTGAATTTTATCTTTGATTATTTACTTAAAACTAGTCACTTCAAGACAATGATACAGATTTGTTAGTGAGTAATACAAAGTGAGAGGCTTCCATGCAGATCCTAGATTCCAATATCATCTAGATCCATCAGTGTGAAAGCACTGATGCTACACTTAAAATTATAGCCAAAAGGTAATAAGTTTAAACCTCTCATTGAGAAGACATGGAATTAATTGAAAAGTCTGTGATGTTTACCATGAAGGTCTAGGTCATGCCACAGTGGTTTTTTTTATGTCTAAAAAAGGAAATCTATGTTATCTCTCATTCTTACAAGATCAGACAAATGTGCATCCTTGAACTTGATGTAATGTGATTGCTTTGTTCTGGTATACTAAATCAAGCATGGAAATGGTGAAGACACAACAGTATTTTTTTATTCTCTTACTCTTAATAATTCTGCAATGTACATTGAAAGAGTTTGGCAACCCTAGATAAAAACAAAAAACAAACAAACAAACAAACAAACAAAAACCCCTGCCATTACATATTAGCTTTTGCAAAGTTTTTTCTGCTATTGAGGACATTTTCTGAAGAGAAAGACTGAATAAGAAAGGATCCACCGGATATTTACTGAGAAATAATGTTACATTAGCCCAGTTAATCCATTTGGAAATTGGCAATTATAAACAAATTTAGGTGATTGCACTTGCCTTTGTGGCAATGTTTGTGGACTTCAGAATATTTAGATATTTAGAACAAAACAACAAAAAATGTTTCTTCATTTTTATATTTTTTTTTGAGAAAGACACGAAAGAGAAAAGAATACAGACAGTCTTCTCATGACTGAATTTGCATACATAAAATTTGAAAAATTCCCTGAGGAAAAACAGGAAAATATTTATACTGCTTTTCTGTTAATTTAATGCTGTTGCTAATCACACTCTTTACTTTCCGTAGTAACTCTTCAGGACAGGACAATTCCTTCAGCTTGACTATTGTATCCTTTTTGGTATTAGTACAATGGGGCCCTGCTCTAACTTGAATCACTTGAACATGTTAAATTGTAATAGACAAAGATACAAAATATACCTATTGGAAGCAAAATTTTAAGCATTTACCTGCCTTTCTCTCTCCAATTAACCAGCCCTACTCATCAGCTCAGAAATAATATGAGGGTGCCACCTTTGCTGTGGTCTCTCCCACACCTCACAGAACCCTCCATGCACAGGTTACTTATTTCTGGTTACTTGTCCCACACTTCTTAACTCTGCAGGGTCTACTCCTTATCTGGCCCTAAAAGGTTATAGATGTAGCTTCAGAAAATATTTTTTAGACAGGTCTTTTAACAATAATCATAGTGTTCACCCTTAAAACATGCAATGAGGAGAACCATACACAGGGGGCAACATTAGTCTGTGAATAAAGAAGTATTGCAGAATTTTTTTTTATTTTTTTTTCCTGATGTGGAGAATGATAAAATTCCTCACATCTGAGTTCCTCACATCTGATAGTGCAAACAGCACTATCATACACTACACTACTGTGTAAATATGTTGCAGTAGGAAGGACTGACCTAATTTCAAAGCTACCCACACAAAATCAAATGGTTATATCAAACACTACCTTATAGTGCACTTTTAGAGTAGGCATGTTTTACCTGGCTGCATATTAATTTTAAAGCGAAACTATCAAGTATTAAGATGAACTGAGATAATTGGTGTCATGATCCAGCATTTAAAAAAAACCAAAAACATTACAGGTGCAGAAGCCTTCAGGGACCTGACTGTATTGTTTAAACATTCATTGTGTAATCCAATTAATGAATAAGATCCAAGAACAAAGAAGACTCTTCAGCTTTATGTAACCTTTTTTTTTTTGTCAAATAGTTGATGAAAGGTATTTTTCTCCACTAATAAATGCCTCTGAAATGGTTTCAGTGGGACGTGCAGTAGTAGTGGTGCTTGACGTGCTGAGATTGAAAGTCCTCCTCCATCTATAATCCAAAATGTGGGTTTCTTTGTTGTTGGTTTTTTTTTGGTTTTTTGTTTGTTTAATTAATAATTATGTTTTAGGCAAGCACATTTAAAAACACCGTGAAAAGCACCTTCACATTTGTTTAACCACTGAAACAAAAAATAATCATCAGAAAGTTTCTCTGATGCTCCCTGCCCTGCCAGTCTTTAACTCACCCTGTTTTCAACAAACCAGGATAATTTTTGTCTGCTCACATACTAAGTCCACTTACAAATTGGTCTGGTCTGAGTAGCACCGGACTTTCGGGTGTTTCCCAGCTAGAGACTACACAACCCTAAAGAACAGATGGAAGAGGACTGCTCACAAAGGATCACACCTTAGAAACAGACTCCTTCTTCATCCACAGAAGTTCACGGCTCGATTTTTTCCAGACAGGCAAATTTAAGCACACACGATATCCACCATCCCTCACTCCCTTTTTATGCCTCTCACGGACCTTTTCCCGACAGCCGAACATGTCGAACTGGACACACCATTTTTGGTATCTTCAGGTGCTCGCAAGGGGTTTTAAGAAAGCTAATTAATAGTAAAGTTGGGACTATTTCTAAATTAACTTTCCAGCAACAGCGTCTGCAGCCCTCCGGGCAGATGCCGAGCGGCAGACACCGGTTCTCGAAGCGGGCTGTCACCGTACCTTAAGAAGTCTGACGGAGGGAAGGAAGGCGGCATGGCACAGCTTCCGGATGGTCCAGTTGAGTGGCCGGGGAGCATCGGTCTGATTCATGACCCTCCGTAAATCCCAGCGGGAGGGAGATCAGCCGCAGACCTGACAGCGCCTACAGCCCACACCGCCCGCCGGGGCGCGGGCGT